AGAGCCCTGTGACTGGGCTGTGTCAGTGTGCTGGACTCCACATTCTCACTCTGTACGTGTTCATTCATTTTGCTTGTTGCCTGTCTGGGCTCAGCACATCCATGTCCTGCAGCAGCTGTTGCTCCTGTGAGTCTCTAATTGCTCTCTATTGCTCAGCATTCCTGCACACGGACAGAGTGCAGGACCTTTTAGCTTTGCCCTGCATTCCTATCAAAGAAGACCCTGCCAGAACTGTGGCTTCATATTCTGGTAAGTAGGCCCTCCAGCACAGTGGCTGTGCACACATCTGCACCCAGGCTGGAGGACTGCAGACAGACGGGGAGAGTCTGCTGAGCACATGCCTGCATCTTCATGTCGCTTTCTTGCAAGAGGAGCAGAACAGGTGTGTCCAGAAACTCCTGGATTCGGCTGAGGCTCCGGGACAGAGCGGTCAGAGTCCCAGGGCCACAGATTTCCAGCTGGCCACTTGCAGACAGGGCAGGCCGTGCGTGTTGCCTCCTCAGTGAAATGGAATGAAAGCGAAAGCTGAGCAGAATTAATTACATCCTCTCATTGTGAACTGCCACTTCCAGCAGTAGAGATAACAGGCAGACCTGGCTGCCCAGAGAGGACAGGCTGTGCTCCCATTGCCAGCGGGGAGAAACGGAGACAGAGGTGCACTTCCTACTGCACTGTGACAGATATCCTACTGGGAGATGGAGATGGGAACTTGTTTGAAAAGGCAGCCCAGTATGTGACCTCCTGTCACAGCCTGAGGAACAGTGAGTCTGTCTACCAGTAACGCTCCATATGTTTGTATGTAAATGTATTATACAGTAGGTGGGTAGCTGCGTCAGAATGTGTAGGCTGCAAACACAACGTTTCAGCTGTGGAGCCTTCTTCAGGTGTGAGGGAGCCTTCTCCCTAAACCTTTACTTGTAAATGTGTTATGATATGTCTTTGTTGTAAATGTCTTTAAGATATCTGTAGATTTTATTTTTTGTTTGTTTGGTTTGGTTTCATTTTCATTTGCTTTGGCAACACTGATTGTACTCATCGGTCATGCCAACAAAGCATCTTGAATTGAACTGATAACATGAAGAGTCCCTGGCCTTTGAAGAGCCTGTGTGCTGGTTGGCTGAAGCCAAAGGTGGAGCTCAGGACACAGCCAAATGACAACGAAGAAACAACGACAGAAAGTAAAGTAAGCGCACATTCAGCACCCAACTATTTCTGACCTTCCATGTGAATTTAAGGATGTCCTGTCCTCTCTTCTGCACAGAGACCACTGTCTGCAACTCAGCTCTTAAATGTTTGAGTGAGGCTTTAGATGAGATGTATCAAAGTTGAAGATCTGAAGATATTCATACTGTAATTTTAATACATTTAAATACTTATTCTAGAACAATTTAACACTTCAAGAGCAGAAGCATTTAAGGAGATGAAATGAATCTTCAGGCCTGATCGATTAAGGGGCCCATCACTGCTTGATTGAGGCCAGGGGACTGTGCTCGTGTTTCTGGAGGGAGGGTGTGATGGAATAATACGACACAGACTGGGGAGAAGATAACAGAGGCTCAACAATAAACAGGGAGCCTTGTGTGAAGGATCCTAGGACTGAAAAGTGCAGTAATTTGCTAATTAATGAAAGGGCTGGAGAAACTAGAAAGCTTGAGATATGGTTTGACTGTGGGGCAGTGAGCTGGTTGTGTCCTTTGTGTGGTGAGACACAGTTCCAGTGAAACCAGGGCCGATGAGTTATTCTGGGAAAGGCTGCCCCTCTCTCAGCCCTGGCTCTCCCTGATGCCGGAAGACAAGCACTCTTTCAGAATGAAACGAGGAAAATGAAATGGATTCTAATTTTGACTAAGCCTGAGAGGTCAGAGGAAACAATATACTGAGGGCAGCAGCATTAGTGATGGCCTGTGTAGTCCAACACAATACAGCTGGCACTGCAGAGCTCCTTCTCGCCTGAACCCTGCGCAGTAGACTCTTCTCAAGGAGCAGCACAGCTGGCCTTGTGCCGAACGCCCACTCCTGATGCACACAAGCTCTTTCAGGCAGGATCTGCGGTTTGAAAATCCCCTGCAGCATTTAACTCGCTGGCTTGTGCGCTGTGCGCTGTGCTCTGTGTGTTGTGTGTTGTGTGTTGTGTGCTGTGTGCTGTGTGCTGTGTGCTGTGTGCTGTGTGCTGTGTGCTGTGTGCTGTGTGTTGTGTGCTGTGCTTGGTGCATTGTGCTGTGTGCTGTGTGTGCCCATTCTGCAGAAAGGGGTTTGTCCGAGTTGCTTGTTGAGGACCTGGAGTCTGGTCATGCGTGTGTCCCAGGTGTCTCGGCCCTGACCAGCCCACTCCATTGTCCAGACAGGGGGGTTCAGACACCTGGACAGGCTGGGTGGAGATGGAACGGGATGAATGAGAAACTCGGGCCTCTCTGAGACTCTGGAATATGTAGGATTCAGAGCACAGGCGGCTGGGAGAGATGTATTTAGAAGTGCGAAATTGTGGAAAATAATCCTGCCTTCCGAATTCCAGAGGTTTGGCAACGCAGCCGGAATGCAGGGAAGAACGCTGGAAAAGCCACAGTCTCCCTAGATAAGACAGGTACAGGGTGTCTCCTGCCTCGTCTCCCCCCAAACCGCGTGTGCAGCCGGAGCAGCTGAGAGCTGTGCTCCCACGTCGGGGTGACCGGTGCGGGAACACAGCAGTCCGCAGTCTGCCCAGCCAGGCCCGTCGGCCCAGTTCAGCACAGACACGTCCGTGTGCGAGAGGCCACTTGTCTCCTGCGTTCTCTTGGGCACCGATAGTCAACATGAGAACGTTAATAAACGAGAGGAGGCCATTCCCATCACACAGCTTGTTTGACAGCTGCGTGGTGTAAAGATTTCATCCAGCTGTTCCAGGACGGATCCAGCAGCATGGCTGTGCTGTCTGTTCCAAACACCTGCCACTCTGGGTGTAAAGCGTCTCGTAATTGACTTCTTCTGCATTTGCTCGTGTGCCCTCTGGCCTGAGCTTCGTCAGCAGGCTTGTTGGCGCGGGCGGTGTCTGTGCTGGAGCCCGCTGGCGGCTCGGCTCTGTTTCCAAGCCTCCCCTGCTGCGGTGGCACCCAGGTCTCTCACAGGGGCCACAGGGCTCGGGCACATGCCCGCTGATCCCTTTACAGACTCGTGTCCATGCAGTCGGGCTAAGCGTCCTGGCTCCCGGTGCTGGAAAGCCACAGTCCCGCAGGCCTTGCAGGGAATCACAATCCTAAACAACCCCGGACATGGGAGGAGGCTGGGAAAAGGGGGACCTCATGGCTCTCCGCGCTGTGAGGATCCCTGCCAGGTGCCGACCGCAGACAGCCAAGGCCACCCCTCTGTGTCCCGGGCTGGGAGGGCTGGCTGAAGCTCGCCGTATCGAGATTATTATGTCTGGTTTGAGCTTTTTTTCCCCTCTTTTTGCTCTTCTCTGTTTTCACCGCAGAGATAGAGTATCTGTGGAATTCTGGGAATGCACATGCAGAGACACAGCAGGCTGTGTGACTCCCAGCTGGCCCAGAGCAACAGGGGACTGACCTGGCTCTGGCCCAGTTAAGGCCTGGGACTGGTCTGAGACTGGCCTGGAGATGGGTTACTTTAGCTGGGGGTCAGTGCAATACAAGGTAGCCTGGACCTCTGAACCCCAGAGGAGTTCAGCTCCCCCTCTCTGTCTCTCTCACTCCTTTATTTCTGTCTCCCTTCTTCTCTTGCCCGGTTTCGCCATGTCCCTCTTCCTCCCCCTCACCCCCTCTCGTCAGTCTCTCCCTCTCTCCTTCCCTCTGGGGCTGTCTGAGAGGCGGGACACCAGGAATGCAGCGATAAAGCAGTCACAGTTTCCCTGTGTGGAGCTGCTTTCCATATAAAGTAATGTTCCTTTGTTTGTTTATTCCTGCCCTCCATTACGATCCAGAGAGCCAGACTGTGAGGTACATGGTTTAGGTGCAGTATAAATATTAACAGAATAACTGCAGAAATGGCACTGTTATTGCCAGTGTGTGACGTGGTGGACTGTACTTTACAGTGGCTGTTCAGTATTGGATTTTGTTTTTAGACATAGATGCTATAGCAGTGATAGACCAACCCAATATAGTGCAAGGCATCTGTACCCCAACTCTTTCTGCAGGGCGGGGCAGGGGTGAGGAAAGAGCAGGCTGTTCGGACCCTCGCACTCGCCAGAGGACTCAAGGGTCTTCATTCAGCTGCTCGTTGAAGAATCCTGAGGACCCGACTTCAGCGGCCTGTTTCAGACCCCCACTGCTCTCTGTGTAAGGATGTGCTCTCTTCAATGCAATTTCCCCCTTGCTCCCGGGGCCCTGGGTTCACAGGAGTCCTGTGATCTGTCTTTGACACACTGGATGTATATGCTCCTGACTGGTCCCTCTGTAGTCTTCCCAGGAAACGGACAGGGAAGTGTTTTTGAGTCATGCCTTTGCGTCGGACTCCTGCCTGAGATGAGATTCACCTGCGGCCCTTCCTCAGGGAAAGCGTCCTGGGACCCTGTGGAATTCGGGTGGGTGGTCCGCAGCTCCTTGTCGATGCCGTGTTGTTCTGTTTCTCCTGAGGTTGCCATGGCGCTGCGCTCATGCAGTCACCGCGGAAACGGGCTCCCAGTGTCACGAAGGCTGCAGTGCGAGACCCGAGCCGGGACAATGGAGCAACAGATTCTCTGATGACCTCAAAGAAGGCTTTGTCCAGGGCCCAGCCAGGAAAATCTCACTCCTGCGTTTGTCACAGACCCCGCCGGGCCAGCTGCTCTGGAAAAGCAGACTCACAGATCGTACCCCTTTGATAAGAGAACAGAGCTCCAGAGGGAGGGCAAAAACACAGTGGAACGCACAAAACGTTGTATCTGTCACAGAACAATAAGAGCAGATTCCCCTGAGAACTCTTTGAACTGGATAAAACGTTGTTACAAAAACATCTTGACCGAACCGGGCTGTGCACCTCAGGACAGACATTCCCAGCGTGCTGTAGCGCTGACTGCCCCGATCATTCCCACACATTCCCACATAAACACATGCCTTCCAGACAGGCAGAGCAGCAGGTCCTCCTCCTCATTGACCTCGTGGGCCCAGTTAGGGCTGTGTGCAGCTCAGGTCCTGGAGAGAGCCGGACCAGCGAGCCTGCAGTTCTCCGCACACTGTAGTTGAAGGAGCCAGGCTACACTGTGCCCGCGGGTTGTATCAAGAGAGAAGGGACTGAAGACAGGGCTGCAGAGCTCCGGGGCTTCTGGCTGAATCCTTCAGGAGGGTCCTTGAGCTGATGAACAGCTGCAGCCAAACAGCGTCCTCTCACCTGCTGCCTTGTGAAGTTCTGATTCTCATCTGGAGGGAGCAGCACTGCCTGCACTTCAGCACTGGGGCATCAGGGCATCTTTCTGAAGAGCTCAGGGGCAAGAGCTTTGCTTCGTCACAACTGAAGGACCGTTTGTGATCCCCAGCACTTCAACAGGTGCTACTGCCCTGGGCCTCCCGGTTCTGTGGCTCAAGGCTCACGTGCCTGACAGGAGTGGGTCCCTGAATTAAAGAGGTTAGTGTGGTGCTGACTGCAGGACCCCGAGGCTCCTGGTGTTTTAACAGCCCAGCCTCAGAGATGTTCTGCCAGGAGTGTGTGTGTTTGTCAGTCTTCTAATGTTTAATAAAGAATAACAAAAACTGGCATGACATCCAGATTCTGTAGCTAGCTTGTTTTCTTAGTAATTTGCATTTCAAAGTTGCTCTTTCAATCTGGAGAGGAAGTGGCTGTTATTTTTGGATCTGCGATTTTGCCTTGGAGTGGTAAAAGTTGTTCTGCAGGATCTGCAAAAACCCCCAACAAGGAGCACATTTTAGTTTGGAATGGTGGGAAGAACATGCTGCTATTCTTCAGCAGTTACATAAAAACTTCTGGGAAGTGTATTTGCAACTAATGGAAGGAAGTATGTCTTTACACAAAGCATGGTGGGAGCCTGGAACAAGCTACTCAGCCATGTTGTTGAAACTGACACCCTGGTTTCCTTTGTGAAATAGCTGGATGAGACCCTCAGAATAATCAGATACAGAGCAATCCAACAGGCTAGATCTGACAAACGCTCTCTCATTTGTAATCTTGTGTTCTGGTACATTAGTAAGAATTTCACTTGTGTTACTTCTGGGCTTTTGGAAGCATTGGTGGTCATCCACTGGGGTTGCAGACTGAGCTATGGCTCAGTGGTGAGCTTGTTCTAAATAAGGTATAGGTTCTGTCTTCATCTGTGCATTTGTAATGCTTCTCAGTATATAAATAAGAATCCAAATATCTCATAATTCCAAAATACAATTCTTATAATTCCCTTAACAGTATTCCAAACCCTAAATGTAATTTTGCTGTCTTCTCTCATTGTATATTTGCTTTCTGTAAAGCGCTTTGACACACTAAGAAGACACTTTTTAAGGCTCTACATGAAATGCTTATTATATTAGTAATGCGTTGTTTGTGCGGACATGGATCGGGGGGCTCAGAGTGTGGGCACAGCCCTGTCTGCTTCCTGGCTGGAGATCCCCTCTTCCCTGTCATCAGACCTGGGGCAGGGAAGTCAAGACTCGGCCTGTCCCAAGCAGCCAGACAGGAGCACCCAGCTCCTCCTACCACGCGCACAGGTAGTGCAGCCCTGAGCAAACAGCTGGAAGCTGTGTGGAGCATGACAGGGGGATATACAGTAAGAAGATCACGAGCTCCAGCTGTGTTGACACAGAGATTTTCAGGGCTTGGCTCTGTCTTGTGGATCAATAATCCTTTATTTGACAAGACCTTCCCCTGCACAGTGACACCCCGGCCAGCAGGGCAGGTGGCAGGAAGACGAGATTCACACAGCTGTATCGCTCGTGTGAATGTCCAAATGCCGAGAGGCTGCACAGTGTGTTCACTGCGTTCGTCCACAGGTGTGTAGAAATGGAGGCTCCCCTAGCTCAGCCTGTGGGACAGGTGTACCTCTCTCCCCTCGGCCTCCTGCTCTCTGTAGCCTGTCTCTGGACTCAGCACAGCTCCTGCAGGAAGGATGACTGGTGTTTGCTGAGCTGTTGGAGGACAGTGTCCGTGACGCAACTGCTTGACGGGAAAAGAGAAGCTGAGACAAATTTTTCTGATGATGTTGCTGCTTTTCACTTCTCCTGTCTGACAGGGGCTTTGTCATTCCGAAATGAGCATGAACTGGGGCTCTGGAGCAAGAGAGCAGAGAGCCTGTAATACAGAACATTGCACAGAGTGCGTAACACACAGAACATAGTGCAGTGGGCCTGTAACACAGTGGATTGCCCAGATTAAAATGAAGCAGTGTGTTAATTAGTGAGCAAGTTGAAAATGTACTCACACTGACACTGGACAATTGTGTAAGGGTGGGGTTTTGCTTGCAAAAAAATCATGTAATGGTCAGAACTGAGGTTTAGCTCAATGGATCTTTACTTTAGAAGTTCTGTGTGGGTGTCAAAACATCACATACCATTCCTAACATCAACACTCGCTGTTGACAACATTCTGTCTGCGTGTCTCCTCCAGCCACAGTGTATTGTGTCTACGGGCTATGGTGTCTGGGGAAAGGGATATCTTCGGTGTGCGCGCTTGCGTGTACTCCCAACAGGCACTGTCGACAGGGGTTCGCTTGTTGAATATGACCTGCGGAGGATCAGTGCGCGCGCACACACTGGAGACATACAGTAGCTGTTTTCACACCATCTTGGTTGGTGGACAGAGCACACTCTTTTCCTGCCTTCTGCATGTTCGCTTGCATAGGAGTGGGGCGCTTGGAAGGCCGGGCAGTGCAGGATAGGGCCGTGTTTGTGCCACCTCCAGTTTGTGCCAGGCGCTTTGTCTGCTGTAGCATTGTCCCTGCTCATTTTCATATGGCATGGCAGGGCCACGTGGTGTGTCCACGCCAGCCAAGTCTGTCCTGCCTGGAAACGCCCACTCTCTCCCTCCCCTGGACATCTGAGACTCCAGGTGACCTTTTTCTCTGCACATTACTGCCACAGCATCTTGCTCAACACAGATTCCACTTGTGTGAGCTGGCCCTTGCACAACCGCTGCACGGAGCTCTATACCAGCGCAGTGTATGTGCAGCCGTGACTCAGCCTGCCCTGCCAGTAGGTGATCATATACATCCTGTGAGTCACTGGAGTCATGTGGCGGGCCTCATGATATCGGGGTGTCCTGCTGAATCAGCCCATTGTCGGTGACCCTGGAGGGACCTTTTGGGGGCGAGCTGGCTGGCTGTCTGGTGTCTGTGATGGGGTCTTGTTTCGGAGTGGCTGAGCCATCAGGCACTCGCACGAGCAGACCTCGATTCCTGCCCTCGCTGAGCTCACTTGCTGTTGTTGCCGTTGCGGGTGGATGGAATTTTAGTCACAGAAATCGGAGAAATAAAGAGTAAGACAATGCCTTACTTTCAGGTAGCCAGGTGCTGAGGCTCCGATGGGTAAAGACTGACAAACTGTGGTTCCTAATGTTACCTTTCACTGTGCTGATGTCTTCATCAACATTCCCTGTTTTGAGTTACGAGATGCTCAAGGTGTTATTGTCTGTCCACAGCTGTATTTGCAGAAGATATGTGTGTACTGGCGTCTCCACTCCAAACTGGGGGCACTGGGGGAACCAGAGAGGCCCACTGTACCACAGTCCCACTGTCCAGAATCCTGCTGCAGGATTTTTAGAAGAGCAGAGTGCGAGGATGTGCAGTGTGTGAGGGTGGGCAGGGTGTGAGGAAGAGCAGGGAGTGAGGGTGGGCAGGGTGTGAGGAAGAGCAGGGAGTGAGGAAGAGCAGGGTGTGAGGGTCTTTGCTTTGTATAGAAACTGCAGCACCACTGATCTTGCTCAGTGCCTGACAGCAGCAGATGATATACAGGCAATAATCCAAAGGAAATCCAGAGCTACCGCACAGGTGTTCCACCTGCTGCTCGAGCAAATGACCTCCGCAGCTGGCTTCAGAAGAGGACACGAGCGTTCAGTTCCGTCGAGCACTGCAGGTGTAAAGCAGTGTCATGACACTGTCTGCCCACTTGGGGGCAGCGTGTCACAGTGCTGGGGGGCACAGGTGTTGGGGGGAGGAGGGGGGGAGCTATTGTTTCACTCAGACAGGGAGGCTGCTTGCGAAAGTTCAGCAGAGAGGCTCTCTGAACTGGTTGCAGAGGCGGATTATTCCAGGCAGCCGAGGAATGTTCTCCCAGCGCGTTACAGCCTGGCAGAGGTGGGCAAAGGCCACAGAGCTGTGCAGGGGGGTGGGGCAGCCAGGTGCAGGGAGACCAGGGAGGCTGGGAGCTTAAAACTGGGATCAAAAAGGATCAGGGCAGGACGGAGCGGGAGCAGGACTTCAGCCCCGAGGGAGGGAGCTGTGGTCTGGACCGGAGAGGGGAGTGAGGGGGGGGGAGGGGCCTGTCCTGAGCAGCACACCCCTCTTCCAGCCGCCCTGCTGCAGTATATAGTGCAGCCAAGCGCGGGGGGGAGAGAGAGAGAGGCTGGACTGAGAGCCTGAGAGACCGAGAGCCTGAGACAGCTCGCTGCCTCCCACTCACCTGCACACGGGCTCCGCGCTGGATCGCTGCTCTGCACGTGGCTGGACTCGGGAACAAGACCGCAAACTTCACTGAACACTCCTCCAAGAGGTACAGAGGAGCTTCCTCCAACACTCCTGAATATTATTTACCTATGAGTGTGTGTAATTTGTGACACTTGTTTCATTCATAGTGAATTAGTTTCACCTTCTGGGGCGTGTTTGTACTTCTTTCATGTTTATTATTCTTTTTCCGGGAAAGGCCTAGAGTCATGTTTATGCTAATGAGCATTTTGTAAGTTGTGGATCATCACCTATTGATCTAGATCTTTTAGGCCTGGGGCTGTGGGGTACTTTAGATATTGATCTAGATCTTTTAGACCTGGAGCTGTGGGGTAGTTTAGATCGTGATCTAGATCTTTTAGACCTGGAGCTGT